GGAGGGAGGGAGGAATCCAAGAGGCAGACAAACCATAGAGGAAACTATAAAACCATGTTCAGTGGGAAAAAAAGAATAAAACTGCTCATAAGATTTGGGGTGACTTTTATTTCCTTCTTTATTTGTTTTGTTTTTTTAAGAGACAGGGTCTTACTCTGTCACCCAGGCTGGAGTTCATGGCAGTCATAGGTCACTGCAGCCTTGACCTCCTGAGCCCAAGCGATCCTCCTGCTTCAGCCTCCGACGCAGCTGGGACCACAGACACACACCACTGCACCTGGCTCATTTATTTTTACTTTTCATGAGACGGGGTCTTGCTATGTTGTCCAGGCTGGTCTTGAACTCCTGGCCTCAAGCAATCCTCCTGCCTCAGTCCCCAAAGTGCTGGGAGTACAAGCATGAGCCACCAGACCCCGTCTCTCCTCTTTATTTTCCAAAGTTTCTACAATGAACAGGGACCACGTTTGTAACTGGCAAACAGGGAGTCAGTGTTCCTTTTGGCAGCAGGCAGAGGCTGGAAATCTGCTTCAGGGTGTCCCTGGAAGGAACGAAGGACCGGTCTGAGTGGAGTTTCTGTCATCTAGACAAGAAACTTACAAGGGTGACTTTGAGGGGACAGAAGGTTCTGGATCAATGAGCTGAGGCTAGATGAGGGGAAGCTGAGCTTTAAAAAAATGTCAACTTCTCTAAAAGGATTCACTGACCACTGAGAAGGAGCGAAAGAAGCCAGGAAAATGAAAAGAGCTGCAGGGTGTAGGTTCCAGAACATTTGGCTGACTCACGGTTGGCTGTGGAGGACAATGTCCGCACTGCCCAGTGCCAGCACCTGAGGAAACGCTGCAGAGAGGGGCTCCTCCTGGCTGGGACCCTCGGCCAGGACTCCAGCGGGCCGTGTGCCCACCCGCCTCCTGCCTGGCCGGTGCCTGGGAAGCCGTGTCCTTCCCCCGGAGGCTGCCACCTGCCTAGCCAGGAACACAGGCTCCGGGGGTCTCGGGGCATCTGGCCTGGCAGGCGGCTCTGTGCATCCCTTCATTTGCAGCACATGGAGGCCTGGCTCACACGTGGGATGGGGAGCCAAGCCGGGGCCACACCTGCTGCTCCCTTTGAGCCCTCCACGCCACAACCTCAGGGGCGGCAGCGGCACGGGCCGGGTGAGTGGGTCTCACGGTCAAACAGCCCAGGCTCTTCCAGATACTCTCAGCTGAGGCAAATATACCACCCTCTCCATCCCAGTCTCTCCCGCTGCAGAATGGGGGGACACACTGCAGCCACACCTGTGCCCGACACTGGCCTGCCACAAAGGTTACTTAACACCAGCCAGATGTCCTGACACGGGGCTGTTTGAATTTTCATCAGCCTTCTGCATGTGTGAAGCTGGTCTCCTGTGTCTGTCTAAGGACCCCCACCGCCTTATTCCCTCTGTATCGGTGTAAGGTGATGCCTGGGAGGGCAGCCCACGTGTCTTGTTCCGTGCTGGGTCTCTGGCGCCTGGCCCAGCCACCCCGGAATGCGCTTGAGACACAAATAAGTGGGTGAATGAATGATGCTCCCAGGTGCCTACTGCCTGCACCTTGGATGGGACAGCTGCCATCTGCTGCCGCCGCTGACCTGATTTCCAGGTACCTCTGGCACAGCGCTGGGCCCAGGCACTGTCCTAAATCGAACCGAGAACGTGCTGTCCTGACCACCTGGTGATGTGCTTGCTCTCTCGGAGCCTTGGCACCTGCCAGAAACGCTTCCCTGGAAGATGGCACCCCCTCCCAGGGTCCTTCCTTTCCTTAGCGTCTGTGCTGAGCTGCGTGAGGCCTCAGCTGAGGCCGCGTTAAGAGGCTGCATCCGTGGTGAGGCACAGAGCTCACGTCAGGAAGGCAGGAGGAGCTTCGCAGGGGGATGTCCACTGCCTCTCACCTGGGCAACCCCCACTCGCAGCAAAGGATGGGCAGGCCCCAAACCAAAGATGCCCCCCTTATCCTGTTCAAAGAATTTCTGATGGGTTCACGTCAAACTCGGAGAAAAACGATCCACTTGCCAATGAACTGGGCCTGCGCCCCTGAGGAAAGCCCCCAGCATTTGGGGAAAAGGCTCCGGCTGACACGGCCAGAAACCTTAGGCTGCATCGCAAAAACGGCCTCACCCAAAAGAGGAGAGGCTGTCTGCGGAGGCTGCTCAGGGTGCTGGCACCTCTGTGACAGCAAAAGCCTGGAAACAACCCCAGGCCAGCACCGGGGCCTGAGTGCAGCTTCACATGGGTCCTCGCTCGAGGTGAAGGCAAGCAGGGATGTCTCTAGCGAGTGACGGGGAGGCTTGGGCAGGAGGCCAGGAGAGCCAGGTGGAGGCCAGTGTCTGCAGCAGGAGGCCCTTTGCCAAATCTGGGGAGGGGGATACACAAGTGTGTATCTGAACATCGGCTCCTGTGTCCTTGCTTATGTTTTAGAAAATTGAAGGATACTATAAAGCATTCTTAAACCGTTCCCTTTGGGGGCAGGGGAGAAAAGGCTCCTGCAGACAGACTTCTCTGGGACTCTTATTTACAGATTTGACTGAGAACCACAAAAAGATAAACTTCAATCCACCATCGAGGGCAATCTCTACACACGTAATGCTGAATGCCACCAGTGAACCTGCTGTGAGGAAACGGTGTGCAGGATACTGGAGCCATCGGCTGACCGCTGGCAAGTGGGGTATGCCCCATGGACAAACAAAGACAGTGACCGGTGTAAGGAGGGATGTGGAGACTGGAGCCCCTGTCCACAGCTGCCTGGATGCCAACTGCGGCCACGTAGGAAAGTAACCTGGCAGCTCCTCACCGTGCCAAACACGGATGACCACATGACCCACAATTCTGCTCCCAGTGAGCCACCCAGATGAGCTGAAGACGCAAGTCCGCACAAAAACTCCTATGAAATTTTCATCACAGCCGAAACGTACAAACAACACATCCACCATCCACCGGGGGATGGAGACACGAGATGGCCTCCCCACGCAGTGAGCGTGATTCAGCCACAGAAAGGAACCACACGCTGCTGTGTGCTTCCACGCCATGGCCGCACAGATGTCATGCTCGGTGGAAGAAGCCGGCCCTGGAGGTCACACACCACAGATGCTCCTCGACTTAATCCATCACGTCCTAAGTCAGAAATGCATCTAATGCTCCTAGCCTTCCAAACGCAGACGGACAGCTCCTGCTGGTTCGAGTCACCTTCCCGCCATTGTTAAGCCGAGCCATCGTAAGCTGGGAGCCACCGTATGGGAGGGTGTTCATAGGAAATATCCAGAAGAGGCAAATCCATCGATGAAAGTAATTGAGGCAGCCAGGGCCTGGCGGGGAGTCGGGAGGGATGCCGGGACCCAGGCCTAGCCCACCCAGCCCACAACACAGGAAAGAGCCACAGGGAGGCCCGGAGTGGGCAGCAGAAAGGAAGAGGAAGCGTGGGAAGAGCAGCCTGAACTTTGCGGGGCCCTGGTGACTTCTGCTCCGCCAGAGAGCCCACAACCTGGGAGGACACAGCATAGGAAGGAGGCGTCTGCCCTGTACCCAGAAGCCCCTTTCCCGTGTGGGGGCCCCTCCTGGGTCTGCCTGCCATCCTCCAGTGCAGCCCTCACTCCTGCACCTGTGACCCCACCTCAGTCTCCATCTGCTGCTCAGCTCCCACGGCTCCTAGGGGGCTTTTCTGGCCTCCAGTTGAATCCCCTCCCCTCCCCATCCTCCCTCTCCCTTTCATGATAGAGAGGCCTACAGGCGTGGCCACAGCCAGGGTGGGAGCCCTGCAGGGTGGGGTCCTGGCAAGGGGGCCGATGGCCCTGACAACGCAGCCATGAGTGTCTCCAGTGTGGGGGATGGGAGCCCATGAGAAGAGACGGGAGACCTCCCCACCTCCCCCCAATGCAGGGAAAGGAGGGAGTCCTGGTAGAGCAGAGGCCCTGGGAACACCCCTGGGCATTTGCCTGTAGCTGGTCTCAGGACCCCTCATGGCCCCAGGCTCCATGCCCACCGCCAAGGGTCTGTGCCATGTTTCAGCCCGGTGCAAGTCAGGTGGCCACGGTGGTCAGCAAAGAGAAGTGGGCAGTGCGCTTGGATGCGGCTTAGGGTGAGGGGCCAGGCGCCAGCACACAGCCCACTCCACTGCACCAAGCAGGCACATGTGGCTCACACTGGGGGTGGGGTGGCGGGGCTGCAGCAGGTGGGCTGAGGGCTTGACACTGTGCCCATGTCACCTTAAAGGCACCTGTAACATCAGAATCAGGGAAGCGGCTGCTGGCACACGTTTCCTGGTGCCCAATGTCCCACAGGGCGGGGGCCCCTGCAGCCAGGCCGGCTCCTGCCCTCCTCACACAGACCCCACACCTGGCCAGGGCCCAGACAGCCCAGGTGGAAACACTGCAATGACCAGAGAACGCGCCAGCACCTGCCCCCAGTGCAGAGAGGACCAGCCCAGTCCCTGGGCCAGACTGGCTCTTACCTGGAGCCCAACAGGGGCTGAGGCGCCTCCTGGGCCGAGGGGCTCCCGGCATCCAGCTCTCTGGCCTCGGGCTCCGGCTGACCTGCAGCCCTGGCCTCTCCTGGCGGCCCATTCGCTGTGTCCACTTGGGAACCTGAGATGGGAGGCAGGCACTTGTTGGAAGTGGGGGCTTGGGGCTCCTGCCCGTCGGAGGCATCTTCCGCGGGTGGGGGCGCCTCCCCCTGTCCCTCAGCGGTCCCGTCGCTGGCCTTGGCTAAGCCGGCAGCATACGAGGCGCCAATGACGCCTCCCGGGCTGCACTTCTGCAGACGCTCCACCATGTCCTCCCTGCTGTCCCCGCAGCTCCCGCAGCACACGCAGGAATGCAGGAGGCAGTTGGTGGCTGCAGCGCTAAGCTTGTGGGGGCCGCCATCCACCCCCCCGGCCACGGGCTCCGAGGCGGTCTCCTGGGTGGCGACGGCAGAGTCTGAGGAGCTGGGCGACTTGGGGTTGAAGATGACCGTGGCCGAGAGCTTCATGCCCCCCGTCCGGTGGGCGATCATCTCTGCCGTCTCGGCGTGGTCGGCACCCGCCTCCCAGCCGTCCAGGCGCAGCCGCGAGTCCAGGCAGCTGCAGGAGCTGGAGCCCGCGAGGCTGGCCTTGCCCGCGCCCTGGGCCTCGGGGTGGTTGTTGTTGCACAAGTCCTGCTCCTTTTCCGAGGCGGGCACGTCCACCCGCGCTGCGCCGCCCGGACCGCCCTGCCCTTTCTCCTGGCGGTCGGCCTGGGCACTGCCGGCCCACCCAAATCGGCCACCTGGGGACTCGGGCCTGGCCGGGGCTTCTGCCGACCCCTCCACGTCATCCATGAAGAACACTCGATCCTCCTCATCACTGCCCGACCGCAGGCGGGCTCTGCCTGGAGAGGCCTCCCGGCCCGGGCTGCCCTCGGGTCCCGGCCTGTGTGCGGGGGACTGGCAGGCACTGGGTGGTGACAGCAGAGAGGACATCTCGTCCCCCGCCCTGTGGACCATGCGGCTGAGCTGTTCCAGCTCCTGGTCGTCGTACTGCATGGAGCAGGCCAGCTCTGCATCTGGGTCTTTGGCCTTGGCTGAGAGTGGCCCCTCGGGCGGGAGAGGAGCAGAGAGGGCAGGTGCCAGGGCAGCGGGCCCCGGCACGTCGGCGCGGATGGGGAACTCCACGTCTTGGGAAATGCAGAGGTTCCGTTCCAGCGTGTGGAGCTCCTCCTCCGTCAGCGTCTGGAGCAAATCCCTACGAATCAAGACAAACACCAGGGTAAGGGTCCCGAAAACCACAGCAGCCTCCTCAGCCAGCAGTGAATGCAGCACCCTGGAATCTGCACCAGCAAAGGAACAACCAGTCACTGAATGCTTGCAACTGAATTCACACCAGCACGTCTCCTCCAGCACAGAACAAGGCTCGGGTCTCGCCGGCCAGGACAACAGTGTGTGAGGTGGCCGGCTGAGATTCTAGTAGCTTCTTTTTAAAAACAAGATTCTGGAACATTTTGCAGAAAACAAGAAAGCCCTGATTCTTAGGCATGTGGTAGTTGCATGAATAAAAACTCTGAGGAGTGAAAAAATACATGCTGGTTTACACACAGACCTTCATCCTTTCTTTCTGCAAACACCACTGGGCACCGGCTTTGAGGCAGGAGCCAGGTGCCAGGACACAAGGAAGAAGGCAGGTGAGCTCCTGCCCTAGTGGGCTTAAACTTGCAGCTGGGTGAGGCAGATGAGAAGCAAGTATTTACACAAACAATGATGGAACTACAATCACGACAGCTGCAACCAAAGAAAATCCAAGCCGTGAAGCAGGGTGCAGCTGGGCGCCTGGCTGAGGATGGGAAGGCTTCCTGGAGGAAGGGGTATTGAGGCTGAGACCCAAAGGTGCAGTGAATTCAGCAATGCTGGGCAGGAAGCACCTGGAGCAGGCTCCCACAGGCTGACTGCGGGCTGTTCATTGCTGGGAGAAGCTCCGGCTGTGCGTGTGGTCTGAGTCCCACATGACATATTCCAGCACAGCCGTGGCTGTCATGAGGGAGTGTGATTTGCAGAGCTGGGCAGAATTTTCATAAGCTGAACCCACCCATGTGAAGAGCACACAGGTTGAGAAGTGAGGCCCCACCCAGGACCCGGGACGCGGCACCCTGGTTCCCACATGACACCATCCTCACTCCATAGGCCTAGCCAGGCACCTGCTCTTGTTCTCTGGAGAATGGGAATTCTCAGTCTACGCTGGCAGGATTTGTTTGCTGATGTTATATTTGTGTAGAATCTCCAGATAAAATACAGGATACCCAGTTAAATTTCAATTTCAGATAAACAACAAATATGTACTTTTAAAGTGTCATTAGAAATAGTTGTAAGTGTATCCCAAATGTTGGCCAGAGTTTGTTGTTGTTGGAAACAGATGCTCAGTGCTGCAAAGAAAAATCAGCACTGAGACAAAGGATCTCTCAGTAAGGCAATTTTACTTTCTGCAGAAAGGGTGCTCTCATTAGCCATCTTGCCACAAGACTACAATGAACAAAGGAAAAGCAGACATATTTGTCCTTTATACATTTGGGGTCGTCCTTACTGCTGTGTCTGATCTCTGTTGGTTGGAGCCAGACCTCACAATTCAAAACTGAACTTGATTGGCTGATGACTTTTTTCTAAACAGGTAAAAGCAATGGAGAACAAAAAGGACGTCTCAATAAGGAAGGGACAGGAAGTTGCTTGTGAAAGGACTTAGAAAATTAATAACAAATATCTTGGTTAAAACACAAGGACATTGAATGTACTATGTGCCTGTGAGCATGTCTAGCACACATTTCTTGGTTAAAGCACAAGGACCTAGAACGTACTTATTCTTTTATATCTAACAGCTACATAGGATAGGGCTTAACAAAGAGTCACTAGTGCAAAGCAAGAAGGCTTTGAAGAAAGTCTTTAAAAGAGACTATTATTTCTAACATTTATTATTATTATTATTTAACAAGAAAGGAAACTTTGAAGAGGAACTTTTCTACTTCCTACAGTTGTTTATCTGAAGTTCCAACTGAACTGGCCTTTCTGCTGTTGTATTGCTAAATCTGGCAATGCTATTTCATAAGATTCACCCATAATAAAGCACGTTGGCACAGGTCACTCATTCTCATGGCTGCACCATCTTCCATGGGGTAAATATACCATAGTTCCTTTATCTGTTACACCTGACAGGTTTTGGCTGTGACCTAGCATCTTCATGCATCTCTCTTGAAGAACACACAAGTGCATCTCTACTGAATGCATATATGGGGTGGGACTGCTGAGCCAGACAGCTGGGAGCAGCTTGGATTCAGCCACGCCTGCCCACAGCTTGGCCGACAGCATGGCTTGCCCCAGGCCCTTGAGAATGCCTAGTGTCTTTAACTGAATCCTTCCTGGTGAGTGAGTCATAGCATCTTATCTTATGGTGGCTTTTCATTGTTTTAGCCTGATGACCAATGAAGTCAGTCACAGTTTATATCCTTATTAGCCCTTAGGTTTTCTCTATGTGAACTTCCTGTTCAAGCCTTTTGCCCATTACTAATTGGGTGGTGTGCCTTTTCTTATTGACTGACGGGAATTCTTTATATATTTTGGATTTGAGTTATTTACTAGATATATTCTCCAAATCTTTGGCTTGCCTTTTCATTCCCTTAACCGTGCTCTTGATGAACTGAAGTTTTAAATTTTAATAAAGTCCAATTATAACATTTTTTCTTTATGATTAGTACTTTCTGTCCTGTTTAAGAACTCTTTACCCACTCCAGGGTCACAAAGATGTTCTCCTTGACATTTTTCTCTAAAAGCTTATTATTATTATTATTATTTTTGAGACAGAGTCTCGTTCTTTCCTCAGGCTGGAGTGCAATGGCAGGATCTCAGCTCACTGCAATCTCTGTCTCCTGGTTCAAGTGATTCCCCTGCCTCAGCCTCCTGAGTAGCTGGGACTACAGGTGGACGCCACCATGACCAGCTAATTTTTTGTATTTTAGTATAGATGGGGTTTCACCACGTTAGCCAGGATGGTCTTGAACTTTTTACCTTGTTATCCGCCTGCCTCAGCCTCCCAAGGTGCTGGGATTACAGGCATGAGCCACCATGCCTGGCTGCTTTTTATTATTTTTTAAGAGACAGTCTTGCTCTGTGGTCCAGATCTGGGGTGATCATGGCTCACTGGAGACTCAAACTCCTAGGCTCAAGTGATCCTCCTGCCTCAACCTTCTGAGTAGCTGGGACTACAGGTGCAGACCACCACACCTGGCTAATTATTTTTAATTTTTATTTTTTTAGAGATGGGATCTCACGATGTTGCCCAGGCTGGTCTAGAATCCTGGCCTCAAGTGATCCTCCCACCTTGGCCTCCCAAAGTGCTGGGATTACAACATGAGCCACCATGCTTGGATTTTATTGTTTTACTTTTTATATTTATATCTATACTCTGTCTGGAATTGGTTTTTGTGTGCAGTAGTGGTAAGAACCCAGATGCTAATAGATAACCATATGAGACATTTTTTCTCATGTGGTCCTCTATTGACTCGGCCCATTTATTGGAAAGAAAAACAACCATTCCCACTGTTCTGTAATGTCACATTGTCATACATTGAGGCCTGTGTATGCATTGGTCTGTTCTAGACTTCCTACTCTATTGAATGGGTCTCAAGTCCATCCTTGTACTAGGGCTTTATAATAGAAGGTGTCTCCAACTTTCTTTTTCCTTGTTTTTTTAGAAATGAGGCCTCGTTGTGTCACCCAGGCTGGAGTTCAGTGGTATAAACACAGCTCACTGTAGCACTGACCTCCTAGGTTCAAGAGATCCTCCCAACTCAGCCTCCCAAAGTGTTGGGATTATAGGCGTAAGCCACTGTGCCTGGCCTTTGTTCTTTTTTTTATGAAGTATACACAGCAGAAAAGCATACACATGTTCACCTGGAGACACACACAGGGATAGTCACAGCTGCACTATTTGTGGAAACTACCCAAAGCCCATGGAGAGTAGAACAGATAATGTTCTGTTGCCGCTCCTTGGCTATTCCAGGCCCCTTGCATCTCCACATGCATTTTAGAATTAGTTGTCAATTTCTACAAGGAAGGAAGGAAGGGATGGGGAGGGGAGGGAGGAAGGAGAGAGGGAGGGAAGAAAAGGGAAGGCAGGAAGGAGAGAGGGAGGGAGATGGGAAAGGGAGGGGAGGGGAAGGGAGGAGGGGAGGAAAGGGAGGGGAGGGGAGGGGAGGAAAGGGAAAGAGAAGGGAGGGGAGGGGAGGGGAGGGAAGGGGAGGAGAGGGGAGGGGAGGGGAGGGGAGGGGAAGAAGAAAAGGAAGGAAGGAAGGAGGGAGGGAACCTTCTGGAATTTTTATTGAGACTGCATTGAACTCATAGATTAATTTGAAAATAACTGTATCTTCGGCCGGGCGCGGTGGCTCAAGCCTGTAATCCCAGCACTTTGGGAGGCCGAGGCGGGTGGATCACGAGGTCAAGAGATCGAGACCATCCTGGTCAACATGGTGAAACCCCGTCTCTACTAAAAATACAAAACATTAGCTGGGCATGGTGGTGCGTGCCTGTAATCCCAGCTACTCAGGAGGCTGAGGCAGGAGAATTGCCTGAACCCAGGAGGCGGAGGTTGCGGTGAGCCGAGATCGCACCATTGCACTCCAGCCTGGGTAACAAGAGCGAAACTCCGTCTCAAAAAAAAAAAAAGAAAAAAAAGAAAAAAAAGAAAATAACTGTATCTTCATAACATCAGGCTTTCCACTCTCTGAATGGAATTGCTGTCTAGAGCTTTAAAAATGTATGTTAATAACATAACTCTCAATGGAGGTCTTGGACATCTTTAATTTGACTTATGCTTATGTATTTGCTATTTACTGGTACTACCATAGATGGTATTTGCTATGATTTGTAGGTGGTTTGTCCCCGTCAAAACTCAGGTTGAAATTTAATAACCAATGTGATGGTGTTTAAAGCAGTGTCTTTGTCCTGCCTTGCCAAATCCCAAAACATACATTCTTCTCGGTACCACATCACACCTATTTTTAAAAGTGACTACATAATTGGAAGTAAATCACTCCTCAGTAACTGCATAGCATTTCACAGCTTTCAATGAAATATTGCTTGGCTGCTTGTTTGTTATTTTCCTCCCTTATTCCTTCCTGTCTCCATTGTTAAGCACAATTATTGGCATAAAAGAGGTTTTCAATACCCATTTTTAGACTGCATTCTAGCCCAGGCAATAAAGCAAGA